CCGCTTTTTGCAGATTGTATCCCCCCAAAAAAAAAACCCAAACCCCGCAAATCAAAGTAAAACTCTTCCAGGGAAAGACAGCAATCTCTGGAAGGCCAGCCACGGAGGAGGTGTTGGTTTGGGTCTCATCCTCATTTGGAGCAAGCTGAACTTCCCTGCAGCAGGCAGAGCCTGCATTTTGAGCAGCTCCACATTACCCTCCAAATGCAGAGGATTCTTCCCTCCTGCCCATTTTCCGGCTTTCTGCTGGCTCCAGCAGTCATTTCCATCACCAAAAAGTCAAGTGCCAGCTTGGTCCCGATACCAAGAAAAACCTAAAGTACAGGTTGTTTTGCTGGAAACGCTGTTAAAGCTCCGTAAGTCCCAACTGCACCCATGCTGGGAATGGGGATGTGTTGTTGTATCCTTAGAATCACAGAATGGTTGGCAAAGCCCTTTAAGCTCATCAAGCCATCCCACCCCCAAACCCTGGACCTCAGCACCACCTCTGCCTGGCTGTTAAATCCCCCCAGGGCTGGGGACTCGACCCCTTCCCTGGGCAGCCCCTTCCAGTGCCTGGGGAAGGAATTGTTCCCCATGCCCAACCTCACCCTGCCCTGGCACAACTTGAGGCCGCTGCCCCTTGTCCCATCGCCCCTTCCCTGGGAGCAGAGCCCGACCCCCCCGGCTCCCCTCTCCTCTCAGGCAGTTGTAGGCAGCGATGAGGGCTCCCCTCAGCCTCCTCTTCTCCAGGCTGAACCCCCCCAGCTCCCCCAGCTGCTCCCCAGCAGCCTGGGGCTCCAGACCCCTCCCCAGCTCCGCTGCCCTTCTCTGGACACGCTCCAGCCCCTCCAGGTCCTTGGAGTGAGGAGCCCAATGCTGAACACAAGCTTGTTAACATTGAGGCCACATGTCTACTACATCCCAGCCCATCCAGGCACCATGGAAGGAAAACTGGGCACAGGAGCAAGGAAGGAGCTACAGAGCACCCCAAAAAATGTCCCCATCTGTCCAGCTGGGTCCAGGACTGCGTGGCTCTCTTCAGATCTCCCCTCTTAACAACTCCTATGTGTCCTCCTGCAAGGTGATCTCCAGTGTGCAGGGGAAGGCTGATCACAGCTGGGATCTCATCTGCACTAGAAGAACCCAAGGTTTATAGCACAAGTATGGGGTGGCACCAAGTGCCCTTCACTCTGCCATGCCATAACCATGCTTTGCAGCAGCTCAGCTGGCTGTGCCACCACTTCCACACCAGGATTTCCACTCCATCTGGAGAAGGATGTCCTCTGGCAAACAGAGCAAGCCAGAGCAACCCTTTGGCTACAAGGAAGATGGAGGCTCCCTTTTCACAAGTAGTCACATGGAGAGGACAAGGGGGAATGGACACAAGTTGCTCTTGGGGAGATTCCAACAGGACATGAGAGGGAAATTTTTCCCCATGAGAACAGTCACCCATTGGAATAATCTCCCTGGGGGGATGGGTTGACTCCGCCACATTGGACACTTTCAAGCCTCAGCCGGAAAGGGTGCTGGGCCATCTTGTCTGGGCTGGGCTCTTGCCTAGAAAGGTTGGACCAGATGATCCTTGAGGTACCTTCCAACCTGGTATTCTATGATTCTATGACTCCAAGCAGCCACACTGGTTACATGTCTCCGAAGCAACTCATCAGGGCCTATTTGCTGACCCAGTGGGTGAACAGCATTTCCCAGTCATGTCCATGGTGTTAATTATCTTCTCTTCCAATAAAGGACAGGCTCACCCACCCTGGTTATCGGCAATGGTCCCTGGCCTGTGCCTTTGCCCAGACCATGCCAACATACAGTTTGGCAGAGTGTTACTTAGCATGGGCCAAACCTATGCCCAGAAGCATGCAGACAGCTACATGGTCTGGACCAGTGTGGCCCAGTGCTCCAGTCCACCAGATGCTGGTGCAGAGGTGGTCATTCAGCCCCAGGTCTGCAGCAGAGTTTGGATGGAGCCATCTCAGAAACTTAATGAGGCTCTGAAGCGTAGCCTATGCTTTCTTTGCAGGTATTGTTTTGGACATGCTTGTGTGCCAGGACCCATATATACCCATACATCTGCTGCCTCTGTATTTTGGGAGCTATCCTGCCACAATAAAGCAGAAGCTTTACACAGATCCCATCTGAGATTAAGAATTGGCATGACAGTGGCTAACTCTAGAATGTGACCTTCCAGCTTGGCGCCTGATGGGCTGTAAATTACCCTGCACTCCCTGAGAACCTGGCTCTGGGTCTCCCATCTCCTTCTTTCCTAGTGCTCCCTATCCAAAACTGCATGTCTCTCATTTCCATCAGCACCTGATGTCCTCCACACGTTAGCGAGTTTGGCTGGGTCCCAGTTTGCTGATGTGTCTCTTCTCCAACCTGCTTGGTTTTTCCTGGGAAAAATGCCCTTTTGGGGTGTGCAGGGGCATCTGTATAAAGTGAAGTGTCTGTTCCCAGGGCTGCAAAGCAGAGTCCCTCATGCTTTTCCCACCCTACCATCCCTCAGGCACGGCAATGCCATTTCTCATGACTAATGCTGAGCCAGACAGCACTTTAGACCAGGAAAACACTAAACCTAAAGAGGAGGAGGAGGAGGTTGAAACCCCAGATGGGTTTAGCTGCTGTGTAAGACCCGTAGATGTTACCATGCACTGGCACACAGCCATGTGCTTCCCTCGTGCTACCATGCTCAGACTGGGTGGTGAGAAGAAATCCAAAAGAAAAAAAAAGGGAAAAAAAAGGAAAAACAAGGGGGGAAAAAGAGACAGAGACTCCCACACTGCTCTTCATACAGCGAGATGGAGACGTGCGAGTGGAACGTCTGCTTGTCCTAACATGGCCTGGGATTCACTGCAGGCTCCCAGAAGATGTCTTTAATGCCACTTTCCATCAGTCCCAGGTCTTCCCTGGGGTCAGGGAGAGAAGGGGTTGGGGCAAAAGCTGCTCTGGCTTCTCAGAGAAAGAAAAGGAGAAGTCTCTTACCTAGACATAGGAAGCTGAAGACCCATTGAATCACTGATGCCGTCTGAAGCCTTCTCTGCAGCGGCACAGAGAGCGGAGCAAACTCGACCTTCATCTTGGGCTCTGCAGGCACGTCTTGAAAGGAGAAGGAAGTTCCACAACTGGCGAATGCAAAGTGCAAAGTCGCCTGTCAATATTTACCCAGCCTTACAGTGTAGGGGATTGTGCAATGTACAGTAACGGTGGTGGCTGCCCACAGCCACCTTCCCATAGGGGAGAGGGACACTGCCGGGAGGTGTCTCCCACTTTATGCCAAAGTGACTCACCATGTGGTTAGATGGTGAGGATTTCACACTTTGATCACCCAAATCTGGGAAGTAAACTCCCTTCAGGACCCAGTCCTGCCTTCAAGTGCCCCTCTCTCTCAAATTTTGTGATATTTCATAGAATCATAGAATGTTTTGGGTTGGAAGGGACCCCTAGAGGCCACCCAGCCCAACCCCCCTGCAGGGAGCAGGGACACCTTTAACCACATCAGGTTGCTCACAGCCCCGGCCAACCTGGCCTGGAATGGTCCCAGGGATGGGGCCTCCACCCCCTCTCTGGGCAACCTGTTCCAGAGTTTCACCACCCTCATTGTAAAGAATTTCTTCCTTAGATCCAGTCTAACCCTCCCCTGCTTCAGTTTAAAACCATCCCCCCTTGTCCTGTCCCAGCTGGCCCTACTAAAAAGCTTGTCCCCCCCTTTCCCATGGGCCCCCTTTAAGCCCTGACCGGCCGCACTCAGCTCTGCCCGCAGCCTTCTCTTCTCCAGGCTGAACACCCCCAACTCTCCCAGCCTGGCCTCAGAGCAGAGGGGCTCCAGCCCTCGGATCATTTTAGTAGCCCTCCTCTGGCCCCGCTCCAACAGGTCCAGGTCCTTCTTGTGCTGAGGGCTCCAGAGCTGGAAGGAGGTTTTAAAGTTGATGGGTACTGAAAACCTCTGTGAAATAAATCAAGTAGGAATTAACAAACTGAGCTGGTCTGTGGATCACTGGTAGCCTGGAATGCCAAACCCAGGTGCAGGACCTTGCACTTGGCCTTGTTGAACCTCATGAGGTTCACACAGGCCCACCTCTCCAGCCTGTCCAGGTCCCTCTGGATGACATCCCGTCCTTCTGGTGTGTCAACCGCACCACTCAGTTTGGGGAATGAAGCAGTTGTGTGTGCCAGCCAGGCGTGACTACACAGGTTTTATTCAAACCACGCCGTGCACGGCAGGAAGGACCAAGCAGAAGCGACAAGCAGGGGCAGGTCGCTTGTATTTGCAAGTGAAATGGGGCGGAAGGGTTTCAGTCTCAGCCAAGGAGGTGGGCAGACAATGCAAGGGGGTTTCACTGCTGAGCATGGAGGTACACGAGCAACCTCACGCCTCTGCCAGGACGGGCATGGGTGGGTGGATGGGGCAGGCAAGTGTCCGTGTGCATCCTTGCACACGCCTATGTGGGCATACGAGAAAGGAAATACCACCTCCCTTTTGCATTTGTACCTCCAAGCATGGTCTGAACCTCTGCCTGGTCACACACAAAGTCCTGCAGTTTGCTGGCTGGAAAAAAAAATACAGAAATTCGGGGGAAAAAATTCCTCAGGGAACTGGCGAGCCGCTCAGGTAAACAAAGAAACCATCTCGTGAGAGGCCTGAGAAAACCGAGGGTCGCCTCGTAACCAGGATACGGAATAACGCCGCTAGCAGACGGCGTTAAACAATAAGCCCATCCCATCCACTGCTAAAGCCCCGTCATGCATACAAAGGCGCCGCTTGCTCGTCTAAGGGGCATTTCAAATCCCCAAGCTCACCGCGGCCAAGAGTTACGGAACAAAACTAAAACCAACCCTTGGCAAAAGCAAATCAGAGGCGTTAGCTGAGAAATAATCCCTCCTCTTTGCCAGGCCCTAGGAAGATGCTGGGCTGTGAGGAATTTACCTCTGTTAGACTCCATTTTCCAGAGTCACTAGGAACAACACAACCCCACGGGCTCTTTTCCTAACGACACCGGTTGCTTTCACTGAGCTGCAAGTGGCTTAGATCTTGCATCTCTCCCCACCCTTTGTCTTCTGCTGCAAATGTCGGGACCCTGTCTGCTTTGAGAAAGCGAAGGAGGCTTTTAACTCTTTTGGCTCTGTTGCTTGGAGACAAGAGGTTTCCTGGTGAGAAACCACCAGCGTTTTTCCAAAATGCAATGCAGAGATCTGCAGGTCCAGGGCTCCTGGTCTTCCTGGGCTGTGCAACCCCTGGCATAGTTGGGGAGGTGCATGGGGGTACCAAGGAGGGGGAAAGTCCTTGCAGGGAAATCCCTGGTCCACAGATGGTGTTTTGGGGAGGTGGTTTTCATCCTGCAGTCTTGTCCTCGCCATGATGGCAAGCTCATTTGGTTTTTGTCAGTGCAAAGGGTCACACCTGAGCCCTGGGGACACCCAGACATGTGGGAAGCATTTTCTGCTCCCAGAAGCTTCAAGCTAAACCCTGGAGCAGTTGTATCACTGGTTCTCCAAGCAATTGTATTGCAAAGAGCACCAGCTCTTGGCTTGTGGCTTATTACAACAAGGAAAGCCCCATGTTCTTGATTTATTATGAATGAGCTGGCTCCTTGGAAGAGTTAACCAAGGCTCAGCAGGGTAATAAACATTTATGGCCTGCTCCGGTGTGGTTATGGCATTTGCTTTTTGTCTTTCTACTTCCTTAAATCAGGAGAGAAAAATACCTACTTATGGAGGGCTTTGAAATCTTCTGCTTAAATTAGAGAGGGATCAGAGATTTCCGGACAGTCAGGAGAAGCTGAGTGAGATGCACCTCCTTGCTGTGTGAAGATAAAATAAAATCTGTGTTTTGTTTTAGAAGAGCAGAGCTGTCTCTGAAATACTGAACTAGATAAGCAGTAGGTGGTGTGCCCAAACACTGAGCCCTCATCTCTACCACCTACATCCTGATACCCAGGTCACCCTTCTGCACGTGGCGGTCTTGGTTACCAACAGATGGTTGAATCAAGAGGTAAAACTGAGTGCTGCCAGATATCCTGGCTGTCAGATAATCAGGTTCTACAGACCCCATCCAGCCCTCAGCTGCTTCTTCCACACCCTTGGAAAGTGTTCAGGGCCCCTATATCCTCCTCCCCCTCCTTTGATACTTTGGAAACGATGAAGAAAGCAACCATGGTCAACATGTTTCTTGTCCTTTGGGGGCCTTCCAGGCTTGGTACAGGGCTTGTGTTCACCCACACCTTACTAATGTCCATGGTATGGCCAGGGCAGTGATTCCTCCCCACCTCTGGGCACTGGATCCAGTTTGGGCTCCTCAGTCTCAGGCAGCAAATGACAGATGGGAGTGAGCCCAGTGGGGCCACCAAGCTGGTTGGGGCTGAAGCTTGAGCTGTGCCAGGAGAGGCTGACAGCTGTGTGTGTGCAGTGGGAGTGATGGCAAAGAGGGTTTATACCACTGTCTGCAGCTTCTGGATGGGGTGGTGGAGAGAAGACAGAGCTGGGCTCTCCTTGGAGGTGCCCAGTGATGGGACAAGAGATGAGAACCCAAGCTAGGACAAAAGAAATTCTTACAAGACACAAGGAAGCATGTTTTTTCCCTGTGAAGCTGGTCAAAACCTGGAGCAGGAGCCAGAGGGCAGGGGAGAAATTCCATCCTTGGAGACATTCAAACTTCACCTGGACATATACCATGAGCAACCTGGTCTTGTTGGCCTTGCTTTGACCAGGGGATTGGAGCAGAGACCCCTTCCATCTAAACTCACTCTACGATCTCACCTGGCTTTCAGTATCTAAATGTTGGATGCTGAAGTCCAAGTTACGCAGCCCAGGATCCCTGCAGTCACATCAGGGAACACAAACCTTCACAGTGAATTTATCTGACTTATTTTAGCTGTCTAAGAGACAAATTGCTCTCTGCAAGTGTTGGGATCTCTGCAAGGAAGATTTTAACCTAGCAGGAGGGGTTGAGGAGCAGGAATTTGAAAGGCCTATTTTGGCCCAGCTTAGCACTTCAGACTACACCCAAGCCTCAGACAGATGGTCATTTCTTTGCAGAAAGGTCTCACTTTGCGCTTTGCCAATCACATTACCCTGCTCTCCTCCTTTCCTCCTGCCACTGCTTACATCCTGGCAGCAGAACTGCAGATGTGGGTGACTGCCAAAAAAGGTGCATCCATCAGCTCTGGCACTGCTTTGCAGGTAGGTCCTGGTCTCATTGTGGTCAACCCCATCCTTACTAAAGGTTCTTGCTACTGTTGGAACATCCTTCCCAAGTCTTAATAGCCATGGGATCACAGAATCATAGAATAGAACCATAGAATCATTCAGGTTGGAAAAGACCTTTAGGATCATCAAGCCCAACAGTTCCCCTAACCCTGCCATCCCACCCCCAAACCCTGGCCTTAAGCACCGCTTCTGCCCGGCTTTTAAATCCCTCCAGGGATGGGGACTCGACCCCTTCCCTGGGCACCCCCTTCCAGTGCCTGACAGCCCTTTGGGGAAGGAGTTTTTCCTAATGTCCTAATCATCTTTGAGGACTGGAAGGAAATATAACCAAAACCAAAAAAACCAACCTCTTGATAGAGCTAGGCTGGCATAGAACCCATCAGGTCAATATTTTGGACGAAGGACTATGGCTTCAGAGTGACTTCACATGAGTCTGGGCTGGAAATGGAGAGGTGAAAAGTCATCCTGCTGCATCCGTGGGGGACCACCACACCTTGCAGTGTCCTTCAAGAAAGGAGCCATGCTATGGGTATAATCTTACATCACGCCTGTCCTTGTAGTACCACCATCTCCATCTTCCCTGCTCTGGGGGAAGTGATTATATGGGATGGGAAGGATTTCTACTGGGAAATGAGAAGATACAGATTTATTCCCTGGCTTTCTGTGTAACTTTCAGTGTTTTGACATCTCCTTATTGGAGATGGGTGATGATTTGCTGATGGAGAGCAATGATAATGGTGGAGAAAACTTCACTGGTCCTTAGACAAACCTCTCCATGGCAGGACCCACCCACCAAAAGGCCCTCTAATTTCTCCTGCAGCCACATGTTTCTCTGGTCATTTTTACATTTTCCTTCCCTTGTTCTCTTCACTG